TTCAAGAACATGAAGGCAGTAATTTGCAGATGATGGCGAGATCAATGGTCACACAGCTTTGTGTGTGGCTGATATGGGTTGGAGGAGTAGCTCATGGGAAATGTAAGCCAAGTAAGTTGGGTAAGTAAGTTGGCGAACTAGGAACTTCCTCCAGGAAGCTTTCCCTATTTTTCTCTTCTTTCCCTCCTCCCTCCATGGCCTTTCCTTTCTTCAGACTTCCGGTAGTACTTTATTTGTACCCTTGGTATGATGTACTTGTGTTATGTACTCTAGGGCAGTATATATCTGTAGTCTCTCTCTACAAGACTATATATGCTCCAAAAGGACAGGGAACCTTTTTTTCACCTAAAGTTTGCATCTTATTCAGTGCCTAGTGTGGTTCTTTGTATACAGTAGGAAGTTAATCAATATTTGAGCTGAATTAAAAATACAGGTTGAACCAATTTTTTAAAAATAGCTAAAAAAACAAACAAACCCCAAAACAAAGGGACAGCTGGGTGGCACAGTGGATAGAGCATTCAACCTGGGCTCAGGAGGACCTGAGTTGAAATCCAGGCCGTAGACAGTTACTGTGTCATCCTGGGCAAGTCACTTAACCCCCACTGCCTCAAAAACAAACAAAAACAATTAAAAAAAAGTAGCTGCAATACCCAAACTTCCACTAGGTGGTGCTGATTATCACTGAAGAGAAGCAGTTCTGGCCTTATTTGGCTTTGTGTCTACTCATCAGCAACAGGATTAGTTAGAGCTTTTTATCAATGATGTTGTTGCTTGTGTGTGTGGCCTTCCACGAATTTACTCAGGACTACTTTGGGGTCTGGGCCCAAAGCTTTTCTTTCTACCGTGGAAATAGCGAAAGAAATGAAAGTAATAGCACAAAGCAATAAAAGTTGTTTCCAGGGCTCTATCGGCTTCCTCAGCCTTTTCGAAAACCTAAAGAGTACTAAAAGGAGAGAAAAAAAGTCCATACACAAGGCTTACAGAGAGCAAGGATTTGAATCACTAATTCTTGTGGTTTAGAGAAATAATTATGGAATAGATAACCATTAACTGAGACAAAAAGTAAGTTGCACAACTGACAAATCAACAATATTATAATCTAAATTTAAACTGATAGGCAATTTTTAGCTCCTTTCTTCTTTCCAGAATTTTTTTGTATCCTACGCACTTAGCGCAGTGCCTGGCATATTTGTTGTTGTTGTTCAGTCATGACCTATTCTTTGTGACCATGTTTGGGGTTTTCTTGGCAAAGATACTGAAGTGGTTTGCCATTTCCTTCTCCATTTTACAGATGAGGAAACTGAGGCAAACAGTCGAGTTACTTGCCTAGGGTCACACAACTAGTAAGTGTCTGAGGCCGGATTTGAACTCAGGAAGATAAGTCTTCCTGGCTGGATGGGAGCTCAGTCCACTTTGATAGCTGGCTGCCTCTGCGTGGCACATAGTAGGCACTTACGGACAATTACAACTCCTTCAGGTTAATGGTTGGAAAGAACTGGACTTGTGTGGACAGAGCAAAACTACTTCGGAAGAGTGGGTGAAAGGATTAGGGAGAAAAAGTGGCTCAGTAGCACAGGCCTTTTTATTGTCAACTCTCCATCGAAAGATAAATTTAATAAAACACTTAGTCATCTATAACCAGAAGCAATGGTTCAACAAATTCAATTCACAGAGCACTTCTCTTGTTTCCTGGTAGTGGGGAGGCCCCTGAGGGATAATTAAACCAGGGTTTAAGCTTTTTACAATCCTAGAAGAGGGAAGGATTAAGTTTTTTATGCCACAGTCATCAATATTAAAACTTCCAAGGTAAAGTACTCCTTTTTAAGGATTTTCAGTTAAGTGACTCAACACAATTAAGAATTTTGTCTTTGGACAGTCTCCACGCATACATAAATGAGTAGAAACATGCATTTAGAATGTTTACATATATACATATAATACATATATACATACATACACAAGGTGTCCAAAAGTCTTAGGGTACAGTTTTAAGCTTTAACATCACTAAGACTTTTGGGACATGTTATATATGGAAAAGGTTGGGGTTGGATAGTTTAGGAACACAAAAATTATTTTCTTTTTCTTTTTCTTTTCCACAATTGTGATAATAAACTCATTTTTTAAAAAGTCATACAAAAATCTCTCTCTATCCTCTGTGAAGTTACCTAAGATCTTCTTGAACGTCAGTGTTTTCAGACCCAACACCTTTGGTGGGAGGTTAGCAGAGGAACTATCTCCAATAGCTAAATGTAACAGGGAAAGACTTCTGGACTGCCTTTTGCTCTGGACATCTTGTCACAGCCAGACCAGGTTTCTCTCCCTTCCCCCATGAGGAAACAACCTAGGGTGGGTCTTGTTGGTTTCTAAGGCAACCTTTCTTCTTTAGTCCAGAGTGGTGAGCTTTTTGCATAGTGGATAGGACAACGACTGAGAACAGTTAAACCCCAGAGACAGAAGCTATCTGTTATTCATCTGGGTCCGGGCGGTTCTCCACCTGCGAGGATAGGAGGGTGTGTGCGTGGGGGGATGGGAACTGCTGGTGTTTGCCTCGAGGGAGCTTAAACAAAAGGAATTTAGGGGAATTATTCAGTTTTCTCTCCCCGCCCTCCCCTGACTTTTTTAAGCAACCCAAAAACTCTAGAGATTTATTTGAAAAGTGTTCTAGGGAACATACCCTGAGGTCATCTATACCTAGGATCAGTTAACTACTGAGAAGCCTTGGAGAGAAAAAGTGACCGAATGAGGCGGGGGCTTTTTCCCAATTCTCCGCTAAGGTTTATAAGTATTCTTCTTCCTGGCTGGACATCTCAGGGGTACAGAAGAAGTCAAATTCAGGTCCAGGTCTGCCAGGTCAAAAGAATGGATCAAACAGGTTTGTAAACCGCGAAGTGCTATATAATAGTAGTAACAGCAGCAATAACAACACTCCTCTTTCCCACTCTCACTTTTGAGAGTTTCCCAGCCGGATTTACAGGCGAGGAGGTAGGGGTTTTCTTCCAGCAGGTCGGAGTTTCCTAGGGCCCGGCCTAAGCTTAGCTTGGTTTTTCTCCTTAGGACCCAAACGTGGTAAAGTACTAGGGAAGTATTGGGGGGAGAGGGGGACGGCCTGATTGAGTGGTCTTGACTACTATGCTTGCCCTTCTGAAGCAGGACAGCCTCGCTGCTGCTTTGCAAGCTTCCTGGCTGCCTAGCAAGTGGCCCCTCCTTCTGCTTTCCCCCAGTGCAGCTCGGCCCAAACTCTCTCTCACCTCTGGCTTGCAACCTCCTTCCTCTCTCCGCCCCGGCTAGAGAGGAAGGAAACTAATCGAGCTCAAGCTGTTTGTATTTTTTTTTCCACTTCAGGGAAGGCACGCTCCCTCCGGAGAGGCAGGCGGGAGGATGGACAGGGGCCAGTAAAGAGAAGGAGGAGGCGGAGGGAGGGAAGAAGTCCCAAATAACAGCTGCCAAGGTTCAAGTCCCAGCCCGCCCCAGCCCAGCCTAAGCGCCGGGCGACTGAAGTTGCACCCGGCCTTCCCGAGCATGATCAAGCGAGGGAGACATTGCGGAGGCTGCTGTTGGGCCAGGGAGACAGAAGAAGAAAGCAAAAGCCGGGCAGGCGAGGGGAAAGGAGGCCGGTCCGAGAGGCTGGGAGAGCAGAGCAGTACCAGTTCTAACGGGATGAGAGGAGTGGCCCTCGGAGCACGCATACACATCTTGAGCACAGCTTTAGAAAGGTGGCCAGAGGAGCATACCCATGCTTCCACACTACTCCCCCTTCTCTCCACTGACTCGTCCACCACTCTTTTGCAGATCCTCCTCATCTCACAACCTAGACTAATGCAAGAGCCTGTTGGTGGGCTTGTATGCCTCAAGTTCCTCCCTACTCCTGTGCACCAAAGTGATTTTCCTAAAGCGCAGGACCATGTCCGACCAGATCTCCACCACCCCATTCAAAACACGCCAGTGCCTTCCCTATTACCTGGAGGATCAAATATAAAATCTCCTGTTTGGCGTTCAAAACCCTTCACCACCTGCCCCCCTCATACCTTTCTAGTCTTCTTAGACCTGACTCTCTCCCTTACTCTCCTTCAATATTATTTGATCCAGTGACACTGGTCACTTTACTATAAAGTCGAACCAGGCACTCCATCTCCTCCATGCATTTTCACTCGCTTTTCCCCATGCCTAGAACGTTCTCCCTTCTCATCTCCATCTCCTGCCTTCTTTCACGTTCCAGCTAAAACCCCATCTTCTACAGGAAGCCTTTCCGGATCCCCCTTAATGCCTAGCGCCTTCCCCTGTTGATTATATCCAATTTATTCTGTATCTTATCTTGTTTGTACCCAGCTGGTCTGTATATTGTCTCTCCCTTAGACTGTGAGCCCCTTGAGGTCAGGGACCATCTTTTGCTTTTATCAACACGTCAGGCACAGTACTAAGCACTGGAGATGAAAAGACTTGTAAAGAACAGTCTCTGCTCTTCAAAGAGCTCACAGTCTGGTGGGAGAGACACTATGCAAACAACTGGGCACAAACAAGCTATATACAGGGTAAGATTGTAAATAATCAACAGGCCTTAGCGGTTGCATCCCCACAACACTTATCACAGTGCCCGGAGAATAGCAGGCGCTTAATAAATGTTTATTGATTCGTGGACTAAGCACACACAGTCAACGCACCCACCCACGCTGCCAGGAGCCCTTGGAGCTGCAAGGACAGAGCAGCTACTTGGAAGGTTTTACTTGGGAGGAGTTGGGGAAAGAGGCCTCCCGGCCCCTTCCCCTCCCCTGCTCCGCCCCTCCAGCGGGGCCCCGCCCTCCCCTCCAGCCCCAGTTCCGTGCAGCCTCCTTCTCTCCCCCCTCCCCCGCTCCCCGCGGCTCCTCCTCCTCCTCTCCCTCCCCTCAACCACTCGCGGGGCCCGGGCAGCAGAGAGCGGGAACCTCCTCCCGAGCGAGCCTAGCGGCCGCGGCGCTCCCGCCCCTCCTGGCCAGCCCTCGCCGGCGGCTCCACGCTGCCCACCCCGTTTTAAGAAGGGGGGAGGGGAGGGGGTAGCGTCAGGATGAAGGAGCCGCTGCTCGGGAGCATGGCCATGCCGGGCAAGTCCCTGCAGAAGGCTTGCCGGCTGCTCGTGGTCTTCTGCGCCGTGCACCTCCTCGTCACGCTCTTCTACTACTTGTCGGGCCGGGATTTCGACGTCCTGCAGCTCTTCTCCAAGCACCAGCAGAGCCAGGAGGGCCGCGGCTCCGTGACCGTGACCGAGGTCGCCCGACAGGCGCTGGCAGCCTCGGCGGCGACGGGGCTGGAGAAGCCGGCCGGAGACCGGGCTCCGCAGCCCGAGGAGGCCACGGAGAGCACGGAGACCGGGCCGCCCGGCAAAGTGCGGCCGCTGCCCAGCTGCCCGGACCCCTCGCCGCTGCTGGGTAAGACGTCTCGCCCCCACCCCCCCACCCCGCGTCCTGCCCACTCCGGCTCCTTCCTGGACTCCGCGAGCCGAGCGGCGGGCCCTGGGAGCTGGAGCCCCAGCTGGAAGGGGCCGTCGGGGGGAAGTCCCTGCAGGGGGCGTGGAGACCTGCGGGGTGGGGAGAGAGGAGAGAGGCTGTGAGGCCGGAGCTCGGAGCGCGGGGCTGCGCTGGACTTGGGCCGGCGAGCTCGGCCGGGCTGGGGCTGCTAAGGGAAGGAGGCTCTGTGAGAGAGAGAGACAGAGAGAGAGAGTGTGTGTGTGTGTGTGTAAGCACGCGCGTGATAGGGGCAATGTGCAGACCTCACTTTATTCCGGCTGCGAGGCTCCCCTCTAACCTTGTTTTCAGCCCATCCCTTTTCTTTTGCATTGGTTCTCGAGTCTTTCTCTCTCTCGTGTGTGTGTTTGTGTGAGAGACAGAGAGAGAGAGGTGGGAGAATTTTGCCAACATAACTTTAATCCTGGCAGCAAAACTCCATTCTGTAGCCTAAGCTATCTGCTCATCCCATTTTGTCCTCAGTTATTGAGTTTCGTGTGTGTGTGTGTGTGTGTGTGTGTGTGTGCGCGCGCGCGCGTGGAGAGAGAGAGACAGAGACAGACAAAGTGAGTGTAGTGGGGGCAATATGTAGATAACTTAAATACTGGCCGCAAGGCTTCCGTCTACAGTCCTGTTATCTGCCCAACCGTTTACCCCTGTTGGTATTTGTGTGTGGTGGGGGATGAGGCAGTGCAGACGTAACTTAAATCCTGGCTGCAACTCTTCCTTTTTTTTTTTTTTTTTGCTCATCCCAATTCTTCCTCCGTTTTCAAGTTTCGAGTACATACGTGTGAGTAAGTGTGTGTAGTGGGGGGCCGCGGTGTGCAGACAGACATCCCTTCAATCCTTGCTGCAAGGCTCCGCGACTTAGCCCTGTTTTCTTCACATCAAGCTTTTTTTCCTATCGGTTTTTTGAGTTCCCTCTTCTGTTAAGTGTGACACCCCAAGGCTCCTGGCTTAGGTTTTTTAAATTGTTTTTTCAGTTGGTTTTTGGATTTTCTTTTTTTGACTACCCCCAAAAATTCCAGTGCCCTTCCCCAAAGATGGTAAATCAGCAACGTGATGTGCTAGTAAGGGAGGGAGTGTGGGAGAGACACTCTCTCTGTCTCTGCCTCTCTGCCTTTCTGTCTCTCTCCCTCTCTCCCTTCCTCCCTAAAACCCGGGTGGACGTGTTAAACCTTTAAGGAGGGAAGAAAAGCATTTCAAAGATCTTGAGCTGATTTTTTTTTTCTTTTTTTATGGAATATCTAGCAGACCAAGCCCAACTAAGGTTGAAGTCTGAATCACCTGGACGTTAATTTTTGTGCAGAAACTCCGATAAAGGAGTTAAGTAAAAATGAGCTTAAATTCTTTTGATTTACCCAGACTTTTCTTTGATTGCCTCCCAGGGGAAAAAAAAAAGGCAGCCTAGTAAGCGTGCTTAGCTTGGGTGTATTTTCCTACAGTTTTCATTTTCTCCATTGAGATTTAAAAAAAGTTTTAAGAGAGTTTCTGGTGCATCTTATGAACCGCATTCCAAAAGATCTTCCGGAAACTTGTTACTTCATAATAGCCTGCCAGAAAGCTGTTGCTCAACTTTTTTTCTGTAATTACTGTGATAACTTTTCTGTCTGTCTAGGGAGGGTCCTGTCCTGATTATCTCACATAAGGAGACCCGCAGGCAGGTGTATTTTGCAAAGTGTCCAATTCTGGTTTGGATACTTTTCTTGGATGTGAGTTTGGCAAGCCAACCCCCTGGTCAGTTTCCCTATCTTTAAACTGAGGAATAAAAATACCTCACAGGGATGGTGACGTGGATCAAATGAGAATGTTAGGGCCGGTACTATAGAAATATCTGATGTTTTTGTGGTAGAGAAAGGTCATCTTGAGACTTAATTGAAAATTTTAGAACTTAATTGCTAGATTGATCTGCTAAAAACTTTAAACAAACAAACCCATACAATCAGGTACCTCTCTTGAGGCACTGAATTCCAGTTTGGAAGATTTTTGAACAGTAAAACAATCTTGAGAAATAAGCAACTTTTAAAGGGGAATTGGGTGGGAGGAGAAAGAAAGAAGCCAGATTTTTGAGTGAACAGTGTATAACTTTTAAAAAATTCAGTTGAGAGTTGTCTAGAATTACATTGGAAATATTGCCAAAATAAGCCCTTGGGAACAAGGGAACAGGTTAGTGTCATAATTTTGGTTAAAATCAGAACAGTAGTGTTAAAATGCTATTTAGGGTAGATGGTATAGTTAAAAATTTTTTCCTAAGAATTGGTTTGCTTTTTTTTTTCTGTTACTGCATTTATTGTGATCAGTTTTTACTTATTTTCTAACTTAGTGCATTTTGAAAACTTCATTACTCTCTGGAAAGACTGTATGAACTCCATTAAGTTGCCTTTGTGTGACAAACATTAACCTGTTCAAAATTTATGCAATTAAATTGTTTCATTTAGCCTCACATTGTGGAGGTCAGTCACTCAGCATTCTTGGATAAGGGGATGAAAGTATTATCAAGTATCTATTGAGGAACTTCTGTTTCTCAATTTTATCCATTTGAAGGATTTTTAGTCAGGTTTCATGTGGTTTCAGATGTTTGCATTTGTACTGCAGGCTAATAAAAATTCATCTTATTTTTGTACCTAAAAGACAGTCATGGCTTCATATTGTTGTGAAGTAAGGCAGATGTTGGTTGATACCTTGTGGGGTGGTTTTGAGGTTGGTAGGAGAAACCGTACACAGGGTTTGTTGTGGCTTTTTTCACTTCTTACAATTCCTTTCTCTAGTAAGATGGCCATTGCAGCCTTTCTATCATGTCCTGTCTTCCCAGCGCTTCAGTGGACCGGTTAATGTCACAGTTTCACCTCATGAGTTGTTAAACCCTACAATGAGGAGTAACTTACTCATTTATTATTTTTTCCTTTTTTTATTTTACAGAATCTTTTAAAAATATATTATGGCCATCTTAGTTTTAGATTTGTCATTTCCTCATTTCCCCTCCCCAATTAAACACTTCCTTGAAACAAAGTGCCTAAGCAATGATGAGGAGCTCAGTAAGTAAGTCTTAAGAGTATACCAAATTCCATATTACTCAACATCTTAGTCCCTTCTATGTGCTGAGCATCGTGCTAGGCCCTAGGGATACAAAGATTAGGAATATGGGAGGCTTTCCCTTTGGGAAGTCAGGCCAGGATATCGATGTCCAATTCCATGCGGGGAGACAACATTATACAGGAATACAAGCTAAAATTAAGTAGTTTGGGGAGCTAAAGAACTAGCAGTTTAAAGGGAGAGAGGGGATCAGGAAAAGCTTCGTAGATAAAAGAAAGGGGTGGGGGAGGTGCTTGAGTCCGGTCTTGAAAGGCTTTTCTGAGAGGTGGAGGGGAGGAGGTAGTGTATTCCAATTATGGGGAACCAAGTGTGCAAAGACATGGAGAAGAGATAGAGTGTCTGTGTAAGGAACAGTTTGCCTAGAATAGAAAAAATAAATCTAGAAAAGTAGGTCAGGGCCTAGTTATGATGGCCAAATGATATTTTTTCCTAGGAGCAATAGGGCAGGACTAGAGTTTTTTGAGTAGGGAAGTGACACAGATCTATGATTTAGGATAATCATTTTGACAGCAGTGGGTTGAGAGATTGAGGTGGAGAGATTAATTAGGAGGCTATTAAAGTAGTAGCAGGATGTGAGTAGGGAGAAGTCAATCAGATGCAAGAGTTTTTGTATAGGTTGGAATAAGATTTCAATCAACATACCTTTATTAAGTGCCTTCTGTTTGTCCCACATTGTGCTCAGCTTGATCAATTGGCTTTGTGGAATGAGGGAGAAGGAAGATTTGAGTGTGATTGGGTAGATGGTTTGGTGTTTCAAAGCCCTTTATGACCTAGCTACCTGTTATTTTTTTCCCATCTTACTTACACCAACCTCTCCCTCCCCACTCTTTGAGCCAGTGACACAAGACTTCTTGCTGTTTCCTTAACAAGACATTCCATCTCTATGCTCTGGGCATTTTCTCCTACTGATCCCCATGCCTGGAATGCACTCTCTCCTCACCATCCCCACTTTCAGGGCTTCCTTCAAATCCCAGTAAAATCTCCCTTCTAAAGGAAGTCTTTTTCACTCCCTCTTAATTCTAGTGCCTTTCCTCTTCTGATTATTTCCCATTTATCCTGTATATAGTTTTGTACCTATTTCTTTGTGTGTTGTCTCCCCACTTAGATTGTGAAGTCCTCTAGGGCAGGGACTGCCTTCTGCCTCTCTTTGTTTCACTAGTGCTTGGCACAATTCCTGACACTTGTTGTCGTTGTCCAGTAATGTCCAACTCTTTATGACCCCATTTGGGGTTTTTTTGGGTGGAGATACTGGAGTGGTTTGCCATTTCCTTCTCCAGCTCTTTTTACAGATGAGGAAACTGAGGTAAATAGAGTGGTGACTTGCCCACAATCACACATCTAGTATCTGAGGCCTGATTTGATCTCATGACGATGAGTCTTCCTGATTCCAGGCCTGGTGCTCTCTGCACTTCAACACTTGGCTTCTCTGGCACATAGTAGGCAATTTAATAAATGATTATTTCCCACTGACTAAATTAGAAGGTTTCAATGAAGATAGATAGAGTTCTGTTCTTGACATGTTGAGTTTGAGTTGATTATAGGACACCCAGTTCAAAACGTTTAGTGATGTAGGGCTAGAATTTGGGAGAGAGTCTGGGACTGGATTTATATATCTGGGAGTCATCTGCATAGAGATGATAATTACAGCTATAGGAGTTGATGTAATGAGAGAGGATATAGAGAAAGGAAAATCAGAACAGAGCCTTGGGGGGTGTTTGGGTGGGTGGGTGGGGGGTCTACTCCCATTTAGTGAACATGATATGAACAGTGAATCAACAAAAGAAACTGAGCAAAATCAGTCAAACAGGTGCCTGGTGGGGGGGGGAAGAGAA